GGCACCGTGGCCGGGCTCCTCGGCAGCACCGCGGCCGCCCCCACCCTCCCCGGGCACCCCTGGGCCAGCGTGGGCACCCAGGGACCCCCCGCCCTGCCCCGCACCCAGGGCCCGTACCCCCCACCCAGAGGCCTCACGAGCTCCTGGGTGCCGTGCAGACACCCTTATAGGGTCCCCGCTGCACCTAAAGGCCGTACAGTAACATGCTCAGGACACACAGACACTATAGGAACAGACACCTTGTGCAGCCCAGCTCCCACCCGCCAACCATATAGGGCCACCGCAGACCCTATAGAGCCACCGCAGACCCTACAGGGCCACCGCAGACCCTATAGAGCCACCACAGACCCTACAGGGCCGCCAGCAGCACCCACGGACTCGGCACAGCCTCAGCGGCACCGCGGTGCTCCGGGGACCCCAGGTGCCGGGGGCACGGCCCGGGAGGGCTGGGCAGGGCCCTGGGCGCAGGCAGGGTGCGTGGGGGGCTCTGGGCATGCAGGCAGCCCGTGGGTAGAGGCTGGGGGTGCCCGCACCCTGGCCAAGCACCGCTCACCCTGCGAGGGCTCGGCAGGATCTTGCCAGGATGCTGGCTGGGACCCGTGCCGCGGCAAGCCTTGGCCCCGGCTCCCGTCCCCCCAGGGCGTCCCCCAGCCCAGCCCCGCGCCGCTCTGGCTGTGCCCCCCCAGTCGACGCCGGCCGCCCGCAGCCCATCGCAGCCTCCTCCCCTCGGTGCCGCATCCGCGAGGGGGGTCCCCGTCCCACCGTGCCAACACCTATCTACAAAGGGGGGGGAGCCGGGGGTGCCGGGGGGGGTCCCCACCCCACGTTCACATGATGTCGTCCAGGAGGTTGGGGCTGGCCACCCAGTCGAGGGTGCGGGGCTCGGAGGCTGCCATGATCATGCACATGAACTGTTTGCCTGTCCTCTTGTCGATGGGGTAGATGGTGGTGGGGGTGAAGCGCTTGTTGCTCTCCACGAAGTCGCAGAGCTGCTCATAGACGGCGGGGAACTCGTGCCGCAGGAAGACGCCGCGGATGCGCAGCTCCCGCTGGATGTTGATGAAGCAGACCTCCCGCGCCTTGCGGCCCTCCTCCCCCTCCTTGTCGATGTCCGCTGTGCCGGGCGGGGGTGTCAGGATCAACGTCTCCATGTCCCGCTCCTTCTTCAGGATCTTCTTCTCGGGGCTGGAGGAGGCTAAGGCCACCTTGGCGTATTTCCTGACCGTTGGCACCTGCATCTTCGGCGACGGCCTCTCCGGCACTTTTTGGGTGACGGCCACAGTTACATTCAGGAGGAAACATTCATCGGGGTCGTACTGGTTGCCTGTCTCCCGCAGCTCCCGGGCGTACTCCCCCAGGTTGTCTGAGTAGCTCTCCAGCTCCCGCAGGGACAGGTAGGTGGGGGACATCAGCAGGCTCTCCAGCCCGAACTGGAGGAAATTCTCAGCCGAGCCGGCGTTGGGGAAGCCCAGGAAGAGGACGCCGCGGCCGCGGGAGAGGTAGCCCACCTTGGCGATGCGCGAGAAGGCCTTGTGCACCTCGGCGTTCTCCCGGCAGAACTGCAGGACGTGGCGGCAGACGCTGCCCACGCGCCCGTAGACGCAGCTCTCCTTGTGTGTGTCCCAGTCCTCGCGGCGGCAGTGCCGGGAGCAGTAGTAGGTGTAGCAGCTGTGGCATGACTTGAAGTAGAGGCAGGGGGTGAACAAGGGCTCCGTCCGCCGGCACCTTGCGTTGGGGC